TGGCCTCCTCAAGGATTGAACTCACAACCCTGGGTTTAGCAGGCCAAAACTCAAACCACTGAGTATCCCTCCCCCCTATGCCTCAGTTTGCCTCATGGGAAGGCCAGACCTACCCGTTCCTGGGACTCCTTTGTGTATCCCTCCGCTCGGCAGCCCACCGATGCCTGGTCTGTACGCGCCAGGCACCAACTGCCAGCCTGTGCCCTAAGGTCAGACCCAGGCAGCTTGCTCCCCCAGTCTGGGGCGGGGAGGTGCCACCTCTAGCCCAGGCGGGTGCACACACCCCACAGTGGAGCTGACAGCCGGGAGGGGCCCACTGCTAAACACTGCCAGGACAGGACCCAGGGCGGGGGGAACAGTGCGGGGGAGGGGGGCCATGACAACAGCAGCTGAGCTGCTGGCTGGGCAGATGGTGGCAGGGCGCAGGCAGGCAGGGGCGGCAGGCGCAGGTGAGAGGAGCATGAGGAATTGCAGTCACTGGATCCCTGGTGTTTTTCACATGGCTCCATGCTGCCCTCCGCCCCTGCTGCATTCGCGTGCCCCGTTGCCCCATGATACTCACGTCCTCCCCCCGAGGTGCCACCCAAGGGGCTCGCATGGGTGAGACTCAGCCTGGGGTGGCCCTGCACGATGGCACTGGGGGAGGGTGAAATGCAGAGCAGGAGCTGATCTCCTGCCCTCCCCCCGCAGCCAGCGCTAAGAGCCTGGGCATTATACCCACGGTGGGCATTGAGCTGGGGCTCCTCGGTCACAGCCGGTGGTGTGTGCTGGCTGCCCCCCACGGCAGCGGATGGAGTTGCAGGGCAGGCGGGTGGCTGGCGGGGAGCTGTGGGTGCAGTGCTGGAGCAGGGAACGGTGTCACGACTCTGTAGGGCCACCCTGCCCCAGCTCAGAGAGGAGCCAGCCGTGCGCCCATGGGACGGCAGCCACACCTTGGCCCGCACAGGGTGGAGGTTGCAGGGGGCTGCCGTGGGTCCAGCCTCTGCAAGCCCGGTTAGGTTTGGGGCGGGGCTGTTTACAAAGTCCTGGCCCGGCTAGGAGCAAGGAGGGCAGGCTACCTGGCTGGTGCCTGTGCCAGGGACAAACGGGAATCAGGTGCGTCCTACATAGAAGGCTGCTGGGAGCCAGCCTGTGGACAACTTGGCTTGGTGCCTGCACCATGGTGGTCGGGTTATAGCCCAGGGCCCGGTGCTGGAGGGAGGGGGGATCACCCAGGCAGGCAGCATGGCTCAGGGGGAGGGCAGGCCTCTGCATTCTGCACCACAGCACGGACTCCCTGGCCCCCTTTGCTCTCCCAGCTGGCGCCAGCCCCCCCAAAGTGCAGGGAGCAGTTCCTGTGAGGGATGGGTTTGCAGTGTGCTGGGAGCAGAAAGCTGGGCGTTTTCCTGGTATGTGCAGTGAGTGAGCCGGGCTCTTGTGGGGGGTGGGGTGGGGTGGGAGGGACACATCTCTGATGGCCCCCAACTGGGTCCATGGGAGGGGAAGGGCTCTCCAGGGCTGCAGTGAAACAGCAGGCGTATTGGACCAAGCCAGGGGTGGGCATCCAGCCAGCATGGACACCACATTAAAAGAGAGCAGGGCTCTTAGAAGGAGAGGGTGGCTGCCAGCCCCACCCCATAGTTTGGGCTTTGCCCAGCATTGCCAACCCACCTGGAGCAGTGGGGCACTGTCCAGACAGGCTGCCCTCTGGTCTAGCCAAGGCTCAGGAGGGGCATCCCAATGGGTTGTTCCCCACCCAAGGTGGGGGTCAGGGCAGGGGAACAGAACACGGGGAGGGGGGCGTCCAGTCCTACACCCCACCTCTCTCCCAAACCCATTGGATCCCAGCAGGAAGCCAGGGGCTGGGCCTCGCTTTGCTCTCGCCCGCCTCCTCTTCTCCCGCATATCTTTTGGGGATGGGTGGGGCATCGGCTGCCCATGCAAGGAGAGGGGGGAATTCTGAGGCCAGGGGCTTTCTTCAGCTGCTCGTGCACCAAACCCAGAGCAGAGGGCGCCCTCCGTGGCCGCATGGGGAAGCAGGTGTTTCATTCGTGCCCTCGGTACCCTCTGTTGCATTTAGCTGGAGCTCTATGCGCTGCCAGGGACTGGGAGGGATCTCTCTTCTGCATGCCCTTTCAAGAGCGAGCCTCTCACTACACAGCTGTAGGCCGAAGAGCTGTTTGTCTGTCTCCTGAATGCCAGTGGATCCTTGCTGAATTTCCCTCTTACTTTCTCTTTCGTTTTGTCTGGGCTTCTCACTGTCTTTTCTTTCTGAGCCTTGTAAGTGTAAACGGTGAGTCCGATTTTAGGGGGGAGGGGTGGCTTGTCTCGGGAAACTGCAAATAAACTTAAAAAAAAAAAAAAAAAAAAAAAAGGGACGAAGTGAAACGACTGCGACTCCTTCTGTGAGCGAGATCCCCGTGCCCTCGCCCCCCTGGGCTGTGCCACCCTTGGGAAAGGGGAGCCCAGTTCCTGTGCTCTCTGCCCCTGGAAACACACCGTGCTGACATTGGCTGGGGCAGACTGGAGCCCCCCCGGTCCATCTGGGCGATGCTGGTTAGTTACCATTCTACAGCCTTGGCTGCCGGCCTGCCTGCTGGTTTGATGCTTCAACCCCTCACCGCAGCATCTGATCTCTGCCACATGACTCACTAGCAGAGACAGGAGTGGCCTTTTTGGAGGCTCTGGTAGCTGCCTGTGAGCAGTCAGCAGCGAGGGATCGGTTACAAACCGGCTCAAGGGCATAGCCCAGAGAGGACCTACATGGGGCTGTCATGGCCCCTCCCTCTTGTCCCCCCTTTAGCATGTTGTGATTGGGCACCACCCCCACCCAGCTCACCAGCCAGGGCAACTACCCAGGTTCAAGCACCACTCCCAGCAAACCCAGCCCCTCCCTGCGGCGCATCCCATTAAACCGTCAATGGTAGAAGCAGAGGCTTGGGGCATTGGGGGCCAAGGCCTGCTTGGGGCAGGCAGCCCCTGGGCCTGGAGCCCTTGAGGCAGCATAGGGAGCAGGCGGGGTGCATGCCCCCGGGAGCAGGCAGGTGTCTGTATTAAGAGTGAGCAGGAGGTTTCGTGCCTGCGGCAGGGCGAGATCCCGGAAGGCCAAGTCTAAGGAGGCAGCTCTAAGGGAATGCGGCTAGCACAAGAGACAGGGCTGGAGAGGGAAGAGTGAAAACCCACTGCTGGCCCACATTCAACACCCCTGCCTGAGATCCTGACAGAACGAGGGAAGCCGCTGGTACCCCAGAGGATGGGCCTCGCTGAACCAGGGCACAGCACCCAGCCCTTGGCCAGGACCCAGGAGTGAGCGGACACCTAGCAGCAGGCTGGACTCCAGCACCAAAGAGCCCTGCTTCACGGCTGGTTCAGCGCTCAGAATGGTGAAGGCCAAGAGGCAGCTGGGCCAGAGCTTGTGCCTTGCCTGGGACTCTGGCCCCCAGTGGGAGGGTGAGGCAGCAGCCTCCAGCTCTGAGGCTTAATGGGGCAGCAAGGGGCCCAGCTGTGAGAAGCATCCCCTCCGCCCCCCTTCACTCTGCCCACCACCTTCCCAGGGCTGGTAGGGGCTGCTGCCAAAGAAACTGCTATAGAGTCACCACAGGAGTCCGCTGCCCCCCACCCACCCCCATCAGAAAAGGGAACTGGGAGGTTAGATGGATGCTCCTAACCTTGGGCAGGGGCTGAGCTAAACAGGCCCTGGGCTAATGCCGCCCAAAACGTAGGGCACAAGGGGACCTATGGGCTCAGAGAGCAGCAAGCGTGGTGGCATCAGGGCCACCAGAGCAGAGGCAGTGGAGGGACACTCACTCCAGCTGTGCCTAGTCATCCCCCCCCCATGCACACACATACATGTGGCTTCACACCCAGGGAGGGGAGCACTCCCCCGGCCCTGAAAATGGAGCTCCCGCCCATGTAGCACCGGCCAAGACTGCTACCACAGACTGGGAGATCTAGCAGGCCACAGGCCCGGGTCAGCTGGCCGGAGAACCAGAGTACTAATGAGAGCCCAAGCCAGCTGAGAACGGCGAGAAGACAACTTTATGCAGACGGGTACAGGCCAACCAACAGCACGTACAGAGAAGTCAGGCAACGGTTACTAAAACACAGTCTTCGCGTCCGTTAGCCAAAGCTTTTCCATTGGAAACGGTAGGAGTGGGGGGATGGAGTGCAGAGCCAACATGGCCAAACATCACCGCGTCCAGTGGCATGGCTGGGAGCCGAGGCTTCTTCCTTCCTTCCCACGGGGCTGGGCTCACTCCAGCCCAGTCTCATGCCCATGCTCACCCCTCACGTGCCTGTCTGCTGGCCTCAAAGGGTAAGAGGCCAATGCCATGGGCCTGGGAATGTGAGGGGCAGGAGGGAGCTCAGACAGCCAGGCGGTACAGCCCAGCTCCACAGTTCCAGTGGGGAGGGGCAGCCAGGTAGGAACTCACCCCCATGGAGAGGGTGGCTCTGCCATCCCTGCGGCTGGCTCCCTGCCTGGCTGCACAGAGGGCAGCACCAGGAGCAGGGTGCAGCTGAGGAGTCTGCCAGGCAGGGTCTATTCCCAGCAGCACCTACCCCCAGAGCATTACCAAGCCATGGTTTTAGCACCCGCTCTAGTGGCCTTGAACCCCAGGCTGGATGTGCAGCTTGTGGCATCAGGTGGGCAAGCAGCCACACACACAGCTCTGCTGATGCCCCTCTGTCCAGCTCTTCCCTGGCACCTGCCCACTCCCCCAATCCCAACAGAGCCAGCCCATTGTGCAGTGAGGGCCTCCCAGGGGACAAACCACAGGTGACCGAAGCCAGGTCTGCAGAGGGGAGTGAACTCTCGCTGGCCCAGGGATGGCACCACACCCTGCTAGCAGTGTCCCATGTCACAAACACTCAAGTCACCTCTCACTGCACAGCGGAACTTCCGCAAGGATGGGCACTCGCTGCCGCTCTCCCATGTGCAGACCGAGCCAGTGCTCAACCTGCCCACTAGAGGTGGCACTGGCACATCCTCTGCACAGTGAGCTGGTGCCTGGAACGTTCCTGTTAGCTGCCTCGTTCCCCTGGTGCCCCTCCCCAGGTGATTGCTCCCCGTTCAGAGCCCCACCCAAGGACGCTGGTTCCCCCCTGCCTGATCCCAGTACATCAGTGCTGGGCAAAGGCAAGGATGAGCAAGAGTCAGGTCCAAGGGGGGAAGGAAAGTGCAGCTCCACGGACAGGATGGAAGGACGGACAGGGTGGGCTCTGCTCAGCCTCCATCTCTGTACAGAGAGGGGACGTGAACATCATGTTCTAGCCTTTCCACCAGCCAGCAGGGAGCTCCGGGCCTGGCAGATCAGTGAGACCCTCCCCCACCACAGCGCACACTTGGCACAGCTCCCAGTGCAGAGTGGGAGGCGGCACAGCCCCGGGGGCCAGAGCCGCAGGTTAGGACGAAGTGATGGGGATGCTGGCTGACGAGCGGCCTGGTGAGGACAGACAGTAACTGTGACACAGCCCAGACACCCATGGAGGGGAGAGACCCACCAGCCCCTTGGCGAGGAACAGGGTGAAAGCAAGGCAAAACGTCAGCATCTCCCCCTGCTCCGCATCGAACGGCACCCCCCGGGGGGCTCTCTGCTCACTGCCGGGGTGGGGAGGCAGATCCCCTGCAGCAAAGCTCGAGGACCTTGGCTTGGTGGCACCTGTTGGGAAAGCGCCACCATGAGTGCTGACTCCTCAGCTGAACATGGGGAACAATTGGCGATTCCAGGCCTGGCTTCCTCTGGCTGGCCGAGACTCCAGTTGGAGCACCCCTGCTGCCCTGGGAGCAGCAAGGCTACATCCCACAACACTGACGCCTGTTCTCAACGCTCCTCAGAGGCCCATATCAACCGGGCCCCGCGCCCAAGGGTTCAGTCGCTGGGTGGGTAGGAGTCGGAGGCTGAGCTGATGGGCCCTCAACGTTGGGCAGTGGTGCTGGCTGGTCTCAGTTACTGGAGTCCCTCTCTAGTGTTATGACTGTAAACAACAACGTGACCAGAATGCAGTCCGCGTCTGATCTCTGGAGATGAGGAGTGAAAGCCCCTGGCCAATCCAGCGCCGCAATTACAAGCCAGATGTCAAAGCAACAAGCCCTTCAGGCCAGAAAGGGCTGGCAGGAGAATGGTCACACTGTCTCTTCAGGGCTGACCTTGCCGGCCTTTCCGAGGAAGAGCTGTTTAACTAGATGGCCCCGGGGTGCCGAGAAAGCCCTGTCCCAGCCCCACCGCCCGCAGAGGTGCAGCCTGGAACCGGGGATCCCCACCCACGGGCGGTCTCTTTTCGTCCCATGTACTTTAAAGGTCTGAAAGTGAGTGAAGGCCAGGCGGTGGGAGCAGCGGTCTCAGCTGGCTGGGTCACATGATCTCGCAGCACGAGTTCTGCTTTCGGGCCTGAAAAGGAAACAAGAGCTGAGAGGCTTCTCGTTGGAGTTCCCCTCTGGGGACAGGCCGAGAGCCCGTGTACTGGGCTCACAGCCGGCTCCTCTCAGGCGAGCACACCGCAGTTCGTGTGCCGGAGAGTCAGCAAGATACAGCGACGCCTAACTCTGCCCACTGCCCCTGTGCTACAGGGCCGGCAAGTCAAAGCAGCGGTGGGACAGGCGGGGTTTGGATCTGGGAGGGGGTGATCCATCTGGGGCTTGTGACCCATCCAAGGGGTTTGAGGCTCACTAGCAGAAGTGAGCCCAGCTGCAAGGCCATGGCCTTACAGGGGGCCACTGGCATTAGCTAGTTCAGTGCCCTCCACTCCAAGTTCCACCCCCTCCCACACACATTATCCTCTCTTCTGTTGGGAAAACCCCCTCCAACAGCACTTCTGTAATGCCCGGCCCGCCTGCCTTGGGACACCGCTGCCCTGTCAGCTCCTGAGTCAGCAGCTCCGTTAGACACTTCCAAACCCCAGCGGGGTAGCCTGTGCCGTGTCACCAACCCCAGGCTTGCTGGAGCGAGGCAGAGGGAAGGGTATTCCTGAGAACCCTCCACCTCTGCCCCTCCCATCAACACCCACCTCGAGGGCCACCCAGAGACTCACGAAGGGAGCTTGCAAACAAACCGAGCATGTTAACTCCACCTAGAAGTCACTACGCTCTTCGGGGCGGAGACCAGCTTTGCCCAGCACCTGGCACGACAGGGGCCGCCTCCATGAGGAGGTCTCCGAGGCACTGGCACATGCAAACAATAAAACGGCGGGAAGCCAAGGTAGTTCACAGAGCTCTGGCACAAGGGGGCGCTGCACTCTGAGTGGTTTAGGAGCTCATTGCAGTGACAGAAGTGGAAATCCCTGCAGCCCAGAGCAAAGCTGCAGCCTTCTCGCCAAAGAGCAGTGTGCTCCTGGCAGCTGGAACCAGAGAACAGCCCCAATGAGGTGACCATCTCTCGTCACGGTTCAGACCTCTCCTCTGCCATTTCCTCCACACTTAAGCATCCACTCAGACCTAAGCTAGATTCAGCCTTAGCCAGCCAGTCCCAGCATCTGGGGCCCCAGCCAGCCCCATATCAGACACTGGGGTAACATCTGAGTGCCTACTTAACAGGATTTACACATCTGCAGGTTTTGCCCTGGGTGAGTAAGTGCTGGCCCAGCCCAGCACACAGCTGTCCTCGTTACCCCACCCAGCTGCCTCACGCTTGTCAGGCAGCAGGGCCGCCAAGCCCCAGAGGCACTTACAGTTTTGTAGAAGTGTTTGGAATGTAGCCCAAGCACCTCCGACTTGGCCACCAAGTCATCCAGCTTCTCCCCGCGCTCCAGCAGAGACTCCATGGTGTTGTGCTGCAGAGGGCAAGAAGTGACACCAGTGCTGAAAACCCGTGCCTCTCCCAGCTGCTGTTACAGCATCAGAGCCAAATATTTTCAGTTCGTCCCCAGCTTGGCTATTGGCTCTCCATCCCCAGAGCCCTCAGGGCAGCACTAGCGAGGGGCGAGTGAGAGGCAGGCACTATCCAAGGTTAGCTTCCACTCAGGACACCGCATTGCAAGTGTGAATGGTGATGTCACCTCGCCCATCCTGGGAGGTTGGGGATGTCACGGTAAAGAGCACAAAGAGGCCTCGCATGGGCTTGTGACTTCTTGGGTCCTTCAAGCCCCTGCTTTCCGGGGGAGCCTGGCTTCCTAGTCTCACCCTGTTAGAGAACAGGGGACCCAATGCCTTTGGTCTTTTCCCTTGGTGCCCTGGCAGCCTGATACCTGGGGACTCAAATGCAGCCCCACAGTCTGGTGCTATGTGACCCAGCCTGCCCTATGCAGTCTATGGACTGATATCAAGCTAACTTCAGACTAACACATCTGCTTATTTCCAAGTAATGGCTGGGAACCCACACAACTCATGACAGTCAAGGCATCCCAGGAGTTCAGGCCAGTCTGGAGTTGGGTTCAGCTGACTTCGTGAATGGAGACAGGGGGTGTCTGCAGCACAGTCCTCAGGCAGGGTCTAGTACCAGACTGATGGCACCAATTCCCAGGAGGCTGAGCCAAACGCCCCCACGGAGGTTCAGGGTTCACAGCAGCTGCTGCCCTGGCCCTTTGCTGCTCCCAGGAAGCGCTCCTCGCTTCCTCTTCCTGTGCACGCAGCCCTTACCAGAATGATTTTGGTCTCGTCCAGCTCCGCCTGCACTTTCGTCATAGCGTCAGCCTCCCGGGGATTCTTGGAGAGCAAGAACATAGCACGTTACGTAGGACACTATTCCAAGGACAGGGAGCTCAGCGTCTGCAGGCCTATGAGCCCAGACGTATCCAAGCTGGAAGCTGGACTCCCCCCTCAAAGCACTCCATGCCCTGCGTGTGGACAGGGAGACCGAAGATACAAGCCTCTGTGGAGACTGCAAACGGAGCTGACGTTTGTCAGAGGGATTGCTGGGGGTTCCCAGCTAAAGGCCTTCCTCACACTCCCAGTAAGGCCTAGAGGACAGGAGCAGACTGCAGAGCTGGTCTGAACAGTGAGAGGAAACAGACCTATTCATTCACCTTAGGCACTCAGCCAGCCCATCACTACAGCTGGCGTACTGATCCTCCGTACCCCGAGAGGCAGGGCAGAGCTACGGGCCCTATTTTACAAATGGGCAACTGAAGCCCAGCACACTAAGCGATTTGCTCAAGCTCACGCTGGAAGCCTGGAGGAGCAGGGAGCTGAACCAAGCACTCCCAAGTTCGAGGCCGGCAGCCTACCCACTAAGACCACCCTTTTCCTACTGCTTCTCTGTCTTCTGACATCCAGACAGTCAGTAAGTGCATGTCATACCTGATATTTACTAAGGTAACCGTCCAAGGCTGCATAGTTAATCGTAGATGGAGATCCTGAGGGCCAGTCTGTCCTACTGACCTGTGTGGAGAACTCATCCAGCACCTGCAATGCAAAGCAAACCCAATGTTGAGCACCCAGCTGTCTTCCCCACTCAGATACCCACAACAGGGCTTGAGATCTCAGAATCATTAAGAAAGAGTCATTCCTTGGCATCCTACTCTCTGTCAACAGAGGGAAGGGGATGGGGACCCAACTCCTGTCTCGCAACCTACAGAGGAATGCAAGCTGGGAGTACATTAAGTGGCCCATGAGGAGACAGTCACTAGAATTCAGATAACATACCAAGGACTTCCCCTCTCCCAAGAACCCCATGGTCTTCGCTGACACACAGGACACCCTGGCATCCAGATGCATGACTAACAGCAGCGACCATTGCTGAGAACGCAGACAGAGGCCATGCAAGTTGTGATACAGCTCTGTCCGACTTGTAACACCCAGGCACCAGTTCTGACCACTCAAAAGCCTGGGCCAGACTGCAGAATGTTTCTGTGAGGACAAATACTCACTAAGTATCAGGCTAAGAGCATCAGACCCTTCTGTCTGGGAGTCTAACCAGGATTGAACCCAGGTCGGCCAAGGTAAAATACATTAACCCACTGCATCACCCAGCCCATGAAGAAGTCTTAGGCCTGAACAGATCCTACCATCACCATGTAGCTAATTTGTGACAGTAATGTTGGCAGATGAGAAGAGATTTGTAGAGTCTCAAATGCCCAAGCAGCAAGTCGCTTTTCAGCTAAAAGGGAAGCAAATTCAGGACTCTGAATACACAAAGTCTCCTCCTGCCGTGCATCATCCCAGCCGCACGGCTCATCTCCAGAAATAAAGAGAGCCCTAAATGGAGTTTACCTTCTCCAGCAAGGTGAAACACACACGCGGTGGATACTCGTTGTCTGCGATCACCACTCCAGCCAGTCTGTCATTTCGCACGTACACATGGCAGAGGTATTCTGAACCAAAGACCAAGTGCAAAGGTTTCACGGATAAGTGCACAACATGGGGTCATCAAGCAGCATTCAGAGCAACCCACATGTAAAAATCAGCCAACTGTCATGGACTAGCACTCCGCTGTCCAAACTAAGATCCAGGGTTCACATTTTGGCAACACTTAGCTCAGAGGCAGCACATGGGTTTCACTAGGAAGGCAGTAGAAGGGGATGCCATGTATTTCTCCCCAGGGAAGACCAGAGGCAGCACACAAGAGTGCTGAATGAGTTGGATCATTTCTGTTCTCCCATGGCACACATGGTGCATGACAAATGTAACCAAGGCAGAGCGTGTACTATCTAAGTTAAACAAAGGTGAGGAAGGGAGGTAACATACAACTAGGCCATTCAAGTTGTTTGGGTTACACGTTCTATTGGTTCTGGGGGGTTAATATTTAATGACTCACTATTACATACTATTAGTGTAGGTAAGGGGGCATGAGAAGACAGATTTAAGAACGTTTGGAGCAAGGAGATGTGGCATACAGGGTGTTCCAGGACTAGGGAGGTGTATGGAACAAGGCTAGGAGTCAGGAGTTTGGGCAGACAGAGGTGATGGCAGAGAAAAGCGTACAAATGATGGGACAGGAAGACAAGGGCTGTATCAGGTGGAGCATTGCAGTCCACAGCCTGGAGCACAAGGACATGGAGTTTGAACTACGCAGGAGAAGCCAGCAGAGGGATTCCAGTGTGGTGGGGTGAAAGTAATGGCAGGAAGATCTGAGCGGCTCTGTGGACTGGAGAGGGGAGTTCAGGCAGTGCACATGTGAGGCTCAGTTCAGCGGCAGGGCTTGTGTGGAGTTAGGGTAAGGTGAGGCATGAAGCTCAAAAGCAGCATCTGGTTGTCAGGCAGGTTCCTGCGCTTACTTGATTTTCCAGTTGGGACAGTAGAAGTGCCAGTCAGCATATGACTTGACTGGGGTCCAGTATGGATTGAAATCCAGACTCCCTCCCACCTTACAATCTTTTGCGCACCTCCTGGCCCGATGGAATCAATACTGCCAATCAGAGACCAATATGGTTACTCAGGGAACCCTGAGTTTAGTCTACAAATGGAGGAAGTTCCCAGATACACACACAAAAGATAGGCATGGTTAACCCTTTGGTGCAGATTTCTCATGAACATGCCACAATGCCATTAGGGGATGCCAGAGCTACTTGGGCAGAGGAGAGGACATGACATCAGCAACCAGGAATGCTCAGTACTACAGTAGTATGTGTGGCTGTCACTGGAGAAATTCCTACAAGTCATGCCACACCTCAGGGTGGATGTTAAGAGCCAGCCATGTCTCATCCAGCCAGGACTCCAGACATCCATTTTTCATTGGCCATTAGGTGCTTTGCAATTTAATCAAGCAATTTAGGCCAGATGACTAATCTGCATGATTTGCATAGCCAGAGAAACAGCTCCTGCTGATCGCAATGATAGGGAGGGGGACAGTAGCCAGCAACAGATTCTCTGGAGAAGCAGACGCCCTGGGAAAAGAATTAAACTCTCCAAGGCACACAGCTGCTCTGTATCTCGCAAGATGCAGAAAATCTGCATTCTAGTACATTATCGACCGTAACCCTGCGTGATCAAGGCCCTTGTGTCCTCTTACCTTGTTCCTTCACTGACGCTCGGCTGCCCAGCACTGACCGCTCTACAATCAGCTGGCTCGTGAAGGTCATGAATTCCTGAACACTGCAAACACACAGCATTTCATTACTTACAATTTTCTTACAATAGCATCTCCCCACCCTCAAACAGACCTATCGCCACAATGATGCCAAGAACAAAGTAATTTTGCCAGCAGTTGCTGTATGAACTCACCGCAGAGCATGTGCTCATGGAAAAATAGTGATGCAACCAATAAAAAGGTTTCCTTTAAATCTTGCATTCAAGGTAGGACTCAAAATATTGCCTTGACCACTTTGAGAACCGGGCCACCTAGCAGGAGCTAACTACAGACCCAGACCGCCAGTGTCAGCTCTGCCGATTAACACAAATTAACTCACAGGTCATTGTTACCACCCAGCCCTACCATACTCACTCCAGTATGTGTACTACATGGAACTGAAGCGTGGGGGCTCCGCCTGCAGTGTTTCCCATAGACAGGGCTACACAGAAGGTAATGCACCTTCACTGCCTAGCATTAAAAGGTGTGCATGACGCCTCAGTGCTCATCCTAGCCTACTCTCTTAGGCATGCCACTGAGCAGCATGTGAGACACAAGTGGTGGTCTCCATGAAGAGGAGCTTTTTCACGCAGCGCTAAGGCATTCTGCTTTCTTATAAACTGTACGCAAGTTTCTTTTTCCATCAAGCCCCAGTACTTACAATGGTTCTCTATTAACTCCTACGCTTGTGCAGTGGCTTAGATATTGGGAACATGGGCGGTAATCAGGATTACTGTAGAGTAGGCGAACTACAGGTGAGGTGGCAGGGAGAGGCCCACTTGGCCAACAAGTCCAGCAGGAAGGATTCTAAAATATCCTGTCCACAAGTGTCTAACCGTGACACCTGACTTTGGCACGGAAATCTCATTAGACCATTCCCATCTCACAGCGTTATCAGAGTTTTCTAATATCCAAGTTGAATTTGTCCTTCATTAATTTAGGAACTAAGTAAACTGACCCCATCAACCTTAAGACCTGCCCCCGTGCGTATCTAAAGAGACCTGCTGATTTTAGTGACTAAAAATTAATTGCTTGTCTTTACTTCTGAGAGCCCTAAAGTGCCAAGACATCTCAGGGAGAGTGAACTGAATTCAATCCCTTTTGGTACATCATTGGAATTTACCAAGGTCTAATCACTTGTCCTTCCTTGGCTTTCCAGAAGTGTAAGGTGCTGTAAAGGTGTCACAGAGCCTGTTTGGCCTGCAGAATCTTTATTACTAGGGATGATGCATGAGAGACACCAACTTAATGCCGATCCCAGAGCAACTTTGTGGGGGTGGAGTGCAGAACAGACATTTTAGTGCTAATTGAACACCTGCTGCAGAAGTCTTCATTAATAACATGGAAGAGCCCCAAAAGCTATTTCTCCTGGTTTTTTCCTTCCCTCCTTTTACTTGGGGTAAAGACTTACTTGCCTTTAAGGAGAGGGGGAAGGGAAAAGAATGTGAAAGTTCAACACCATTTCAGTTTAAAAACATTCAAGTGCCTTTAATCTTTCTCTTAGTCTCAAATTCTTTTCCTCAAAGCTGTCTTAAAATTGTATTTCCTCTTGTTCTGGCTTTAAAAGCAAGTGCACTGCATCCCAGAACAGTCTCACTAATGCAGCGTGAAGTGAGACTAAAATAGACGTATCATACATTCACCCTGGTTGACGTATTTTGGGGGCCTGCACAATATACTCAGACTCTGCAAAAATCTAGGCTTTCATTTCATTTGTACATTATTTCTAGACCTCTCAGTTATAAGGGTAGCCTTGAAAACATGAACCAAGAATAAACCGATAGTCTTGTCTTGAGTCTGCAAACTGAAACAATTGCAGAGAGAGGTGTAAACCCACCCCTCCATTTAGAACCCTGCAAGCAGCTGTGAAACTGCCAAGACTTCTGTCAGTTTCACACTGCTCCTGGGGAAGACTAGGAGCACAGGCAGGCACTGGAGTTGGTCACAAGGAAGCACCATGCTTCAGTTAGCAGAAAGCTACACTCCAACCAGTTGTCAGGAGGCTTTGGAGGGCTGAAAAGAGAAATTCTTCTCCCTTTCAGCTACTGGTTTGCGTGGGGGACGCAGCAGGATGTGGACCTTCACATTTATCAGACACCTACTAGTCAGACATATGAAAGATGGTGCTTCTAAGCAGAGTCCACCAGGCCAAAATCCCAGGGGCTTCAGGTGCAAGGATCAGCAGGCTCTAGTCAGAGCACAGTTCCAAATCCCACTAGTGAGGCTACAGTCTAGCTAAAAATCTAGCAACTTCAAGCCCCACAACTGGTTTTAGTGGGACTATTCTCCAGGAGTAAGACACAGATTAGAACAGACTAATGGATCAAAGGTAGCAAGTGTGGCCTTTATGCAATGCTCTCTTCCCACCAGAAGCCCAGAGTCCCAGACTTTATTTTCAGGTACGCTACCTGGCCTTTTTGAATAAGTCAAGTCAAAAAGGGCTTCTGGAAAGGATAACTTACTTCCCCTATAGCTTCTTTACTGCTGTCTTATTCAGCCATCTTCCCCCATGCCACAATAGCTCTCCTCCCCTCTTTCAAGCTCCAGTACCCAAAAAGCTGCCTTTATAACAAACCATTCTCGGCACATACTTGTTCAGACCACAAGTTTTGTTTAAATCCAAGCTGTTGCAATGCATGCCACACTTAAGCAGCTTCTACACTCCCATCTCTACGGTATACAACTTAGATGAAATATATGGATTAATGCAGTAATATACTGCTATAAAGTGACAATATTAATGTGTAGTAAGCCAGTTTGTTTTACCCATCTTCAGTTATTGAAAGTGAAAGTTTTAAGTATTTAAGTATCATTTGTTATTATTTATGTTTTGCATGACTCCCAGTCTGGGACAAAGGGGATTAAAAACGTCAGTTTCACTTTCAGATTCTCAGTACTGCAACATAAGGCTGCCAAAACCTGCAGGAGAAGATTTGTTCAAGTGTTCCATCGGAGCTTGAAATGAAAGAATGTAGAATCATTCCTGTTGGTCTCAGGCTGATGTATGAATTTGAAATTCCAGATGTGTGGGGTTCTTTAAGGAATAAGTCCAAGGTCTGGTTATAATACAACGCAAGACAAACCTAACTCCTGGTGACAATTCTGAAAGATACTCAAATTACAATTCTGATAAAAAGGCACATGTGGGGCGTTAAATTAGGTACCCTGTGAGGTACCTGATCACAGTCTCTCTCCCCCTCACCTGCCCCCTCCATGTTTAATTAGGACATTTTAGTAAGTCTCATGAAAGACATAATTGGACAAGATTGCCATGAATTAAAAAAAGCATTTAAACGTTAACTTTAAAATCCCAGTACCTTTCCAGGATCAGGAGACACTAAAAACTTAAGACAAAATTCAAATTTTAGGCCAAATTTGTTAATCCTTAATACTGCTTGCAAACATTTACACACTGAATTCAAAGGCGCTACTTGTGCACACAAAGTTAAGCATGTGCCAGTTTGCAGGACTGGGGTACTTGCTAGTATAAGATTATGCATGTGCAAAATTAATCAAATTAGTGAGGCGGGGAAACTAGTTTCCCCCACAATTAAGGTTTTTTTAAATGAGTAAGAGAAAAGTGCCTGTAGTTTGTGCCATCTTTGCATCTGAGTGGGCCTGAGTTAGGGAAGATATGGCATGACTTCCTGCCTGGGATTCTACTAGCGTTGATCAATTTACGTTGAGGTGATTATATTTTTTGAAAATAAAAAAAAACAGATTTTCTTTAAAAAAATCCTAAATTCCGATTAGCAGCCTGTTGTAGAATGCAGCAATGATTCTGGACAGACAAATTGTAGGATCTGAGACTTCCTCCTGCACCTGTGATTTTCTTCTGTCTCTGACATTAAGGCAGTTCTTCCAGGAGGATTTTTATTAACTTTATTTCAATTAGCAAATTGCAGTTTCCCCTCATGCATCAGCCCTCGTACATGCAAGACCTCTGGTCATGCCAAACAGGGAAAATCTGTAATGATGTCAGAGGAGTACAGCTTCCTTAGGCACAGGTAAAAATCGCAGCAGGAGCACAGAAGTGCGTTTGTTTAATGCTTATCTTTTAAAAAAATCCCCCTGACATAATCCACCATGAAGAAAAAGCCCCATCAGGCCTAAGTGTCAAGCAACAGCCAAGCTCCAAACCTCAGCTATTTTTGTTGTAACCTTGGCAAAGGAAGTAAAAATGTATAAAATAAATCCTAACAATGGTATTTCTCCTCCAAACTCACTCTGCCCTCCCCTCCATCAGAACCCCATAGAAGAGAGAGTTTGCGTATGCTTTAAAAGTCACCTTTGGGTACACACCAAGCATGGAAAATTTCAGTGCAGAAGGCAAATGTTTCTTAAAATTATGAGCATCTGAAACCAGGAAGTTAGAAGGGAAGTTGTTTTGCAGTCAGCCACTTGCTAATACAACTACTTCTTTCTAAAAGGTTTAGGAGTATTACCCCATCTTAATGGTTGGGGGCTGTTAACTGATGTAAGGGCAATATGGGTAAACTCTTCTGCAAATACAGATTACACCCTAATGCTGAGAGCACTGTGAATCACCAGAATGACAAGGGGTTGGGATTAGCATTTAGCTTTGAGCACTCTGGCCTGAACCATCAGCAGTATTCTCTGCACAACTAAACACCTTAAGCAAAGGAGACATGCCAGGCCTATATGGTATGTTATCACAAGTGGGAAGATACTAACAATTGCTAAATACAAATATACTGATCACTCCAGCTATCACAGAAGCCCAGTTGGATTGGTAAAGCGAAACCCACAAGTTATCTCCCATTTGTTTTTCAAGTCTCTTCATGAGCTGAGATGCTTGTGAGACTTAACAGATCTTTTGACACATTATCTATGATATGGATTACAATTCACATCAATATATGCTCTCTTATTTTGTATAACCCACAGCATCAGCCTTCTAAAACCTGCAAAAACACACCAGCTCAGGCACTGATCTATTGACAGGCCTTTTGCTGTGATAATAAAAAACCCATCTTATTCACCGGTTTAAAAGCTCACTCATATTGGATGTTCATTCTGCCCATCTGAGGTACTTCTATGGGCCCCATTACAGTATATTTGAACGCCACACAACCTTTAATGCAGTTACCCTCACTATACCCCAGAGGGACAAATTATCATCCCCCTTTTACAGACTGTTCCACTGGGGATAAATACTTAACTAGCCATTGGGTGTGAAAGAGAGAATGACTCTGCAGCCTGAGGCTTAGAGCACCCACTTGGGAGGCAGGACACCTGGGAGGCAGACCCCTTGCTCCAACCAGTATGTCACTCTTTATCCACAGAGGAATAGCTTCAACTGGAAAACTGAGGGAGCCCCACAGTAGAATACCCCATAGCTCAGTGGTTAGAGCACCCCCCAAAGAGGTGAGACATCTCTGTTCAAATCCCTTCTCCCCATCAGGCAGAAGAGGAACTGAACTGAGGCCTCCCAGATCCCAGGTGAGTGCTCTAACCACTGGGCTAAATGTTATAAGGAGGGTGGTATGAAGACAACCTCCTCTTTTGGCCAGATTTTGAATGGGACCTAATCTGGTAGGCAGCCTCTGAGCTTGCTTACTGGACTGGCTCCTACACTCATGATAGGTGTTTGTCCCCAGTCTGTGAAACCAAAACTGAGATTTAGGCACCTACCTGCCTATGTGGATCGACCTAAGTGACTTGCCCGGGGTCACACAGGGAGTCTGTGGCAGAGCAGGGGCTGGAACCCCACTCTCACAAGCGTGCGCGCCAACCACTGATCGCCCTTATGGAGCTATTTGTTCCAGCCAGGGAGGTGGCCGCCCAGCACGGAGGAGAGTTTTCCCCAGCCGGGGCCGGCGCCTCGGGGACTCACCTGGTTTTCTGGAAGAAGCTGAACGAGGACAAGTCGTAGGCGGCTTTCAGCAAGTGCACTTTGGGGTCGCCTTTGTAAAGGACACTTAGGCTGTAAAGCTTCATCCTGGCGCCTCCCCAGCAGCCGCCTGAGCGAGAAGGAAGGAGTCAGGGCTCGGGGAGGGGAGAGGCCCAGCAGACAAGCCCCGACCGCCCCCTTCACGCACCCCCCCAGCCCGTGCCCGGTGCCCGAGGACCCCCCGCTCCCGACACCCACAACAGAGCAGGGCCTGGCTGCGGCCTCGCGCTGCGCTCGGAGACTCCAGCTCCCGCCCCCCCCACCGGAGGCAGGGCCCGCCCCCGCGGCCCCCCTCACTGATCCCCGCCTTCCCCAACTGAGGGGCGGGGCCCGCCCGGCTCCCCACCGCCCCGCCCTCAGGGGCTCGCTCGGACCCGGGGGTCGGTACCGGGCAGGTCCCGCCTCCCTCCTGCGGCTCCGGCGGTTGCTGCGACTGACTGGGCAGTGGGCGGAGGAAGGAGACGCCGCGCCCCGCTGACCCGGAAACAAAATGGTGCGGCCGGAAGTGCCGGCGGTGAGTCAGTGCCACGGAGCGCTCTCGCACTGCGCATGCACTCGCCCGCTGAGGGAACCAGCCAATGAGCATCCGCCTGACAGACAGCTTCGCCCCCCGCTCCCCCCGGCACATACTGGACAGCCAATCAGCATCGCCCTGACATAAGCCCCTCCCAGAGAAGGCGGGGCTGGGGAAACTCATACACCCCCCTCCTCCACCGGGGTGTGGGGCGGGGCAGGTCCGGTCCGGTCCCAAGGGGGGGGAGCAGGGGCAGCTCCCAAGGGGGCGGGGCAAGTCCCGGGGGCAGCTCCCAAGGGGGCGGGGCAAGTCCCAGGGGTGGCTCCCAGGGGGGCAGGCTCTGGAGGGGAGGCAGGGGCAGGTGCTGGGGAGCTGATCCAGCCCACCCGAGACCCCCCATATGCTCTGGCTGCAGACAGAGGCCTGGTTCACGCCCATGTTTTGTACCCGTGCAGTGCCCTGGGGAGTGGGAGATCGGGGTGTGCGGGCGCCCGAGCCTGTGTGATGGATCAGGGGCACGCTCCTTGTGGAGTGAGCTACCGCACACTGAGGTGAGCACTACTAACCTGGGAGTAGCCCTGCTCTACCCAGGTGAGCACCAGTATGCCAGGGTTGGACCCACTACATCAGAATTGGCCCCAATTACACCAGAGTCAGCAACAGTGTACCGGGGTCAGCACCAATACACTGTGATGAGCCCTGCTGTACCGTGGTCAGCACCAATATACCCGGATCCTGTGGGCAGCAAGTCTAAGGGGAAAAACAGTTCAAGAGAGTTGGTAGTTTTTCAGAGACATTATTAAGGGCTAAGTTCCCTGTAAGCCACGTGGCCGCGCATCACCCTGTTTAGTGCCTCGCAGGCATTCAGGGAACCCACCCGGGGACCAGCCGGGGGAGGGGCACCCCTCCCCCAGCCCCAAACTAGCCCAGCCACCAACGTGCCCCCAACCTTTCCCCGTCCCCAACTATGCCGCGGCCTGGACCTGCCACAGCCAGGGCACCCCACCCCGGCCTGAACCCGGCCAGCGTGGCCCAGCCTGCACCCAGCTGCAGCCCGGGCAGCCCAGCCCGAACAGCCCGGCCTAGACCCAGCCACGGCAGCCTAAACCCAACCGCAGCTGGGGTGGCCTGGCCTGAACCCGGGCAGCCGGGCTCGGACCTGTCGCAGGGTGCCCCTCCACGAACTAGTTTTGCCAACTTTCCAATTGTACAAAACTGAACACCCTAGCCCTGCCCCTTCCCTGAGGCCCTGCCCCTTCCCCGCCCCTTCCCGGAGTCCCCACCTCCACATAGAGCAGCGGTTCTCAAACTTTAGCAACCCAAGGACCCCCAAGCCCCTCGCTCAGCCCCAGGCACCGCTCCCACTCCACCTCTTCCCACCCCCACTTCACCCTCTGCCCCTTCTCTCCCCTGCCTCTTTCCACCGCCTCCCCCGAGCGCGTCATGTCCCCGCTCCTCCCCCTCCCTCCCAGTGCCTCCTGCACACTGTTGAACAGCTGTTCCGCCATGTGCAGGAGGCACTGGGAGGAACGGGGAGGAGTTGAGGGAGGGAGGGGCAGGTGTTTATCAGCGGGGCCGGCGGACTCCCCGGAGTACCCTCACGGACCCCCTGGGGTCTGCGTCCCCAGTTTGAGAAACGCTGGCATAGAGAGTACACTTATCTGGGAGGGGTTGCAAGTGCTTTAGAGGATAGGATTAAAATTCAAAATGATCTGGACAAATTGGAGAAATGGTCTGAAGTAAACAGGATAAAAAATAAATATATGGAGCTATACCTATCTCATAGACAGGGCTGGCTCCAGGGTTTTTGCCACCCCAAGCGGCAAAAAAAAAAAAAAAAAAAAATCCGTGATTGTGATCTGCAGGTCCTTCGCTCCAAGTGGGAGTGAGGGACCGTCTGCCGAATTGCCGCCGAATAGCTGGACCTGCCGCCCCTCTCCAGAGTGGCTGCCCCAAGCACCTGCTTGGCAAGCTGGTGCCTGGAGCCGGCCCTGCTCATAGAACTGGAAGGGACCCTGAAAGGTCATTGAGTCCAGCCCACTGCCTTCACTAGCAGGACCAAGTACTGATTTTGTGCTAGATCCCTAAGTGGCCCCCCTCAAGGATTGAGCTCATAACCCTGGGTTGAGTAGACCAATACTCAAACCACTGAGCTATCCCTCCCCCCAAAGTCAATGAAATTCAATAAGGAGAAATGTGAAGTACTCCACTTAGGAAGGAACAATCAGTTGCACACATACAAAATGGGAAATGACTGCCTAGGAAGGAGTACTGCAGAAAGGGATCTGGGGATTATAGTGGATCGCAAGCTAAATATGAGTCAACAGTGTAACACTGTTGCAAAAAAAGCAAACATCATTCCGGGATGTATTAACAGGAGTGTTGTAAGCAAGGCACAAGAAGTACTTCTTCCTCTCTACTCTGTCCTAATTAGGCATCAGCTGGAGTATTGTATCCAGTTCTGGGTGCCACATTCCAGGAAAGATGTGGACAAATTGGAGAAAGTCCAGAGAAGAGCAACAAAAATGATTAAAGGTCTAGAAAACATGACCTAAGAAGAAAGACTGAAAAAAATGCTTTTGTTTACCCTGGAGAAGAGAAGACTGAGAGGGGACATGATAACAGTTTTCAAGTACATAAAGGTTGTTACAAGGAGAAGGGAGAAAAATTGTTCTCGTTAACCTCTGAGGACAGGACAAGAAGCAATGGGCTTAAATTGCAGCAAAGGCGGTTTAGGTTGGACATAGGAAAAACTTCCTAACTGTGAGGGTGGTTAAGCACTGGAATAAATTGCCCAGGGAGATTGTGGAATCTCCGTCATTAGAGATTTTTAAGAGCAGGTTAGACAAACACCTGTCAGGGATGGTCTAGATCATACCTAGTCCTGCCGTGAGTGCAGGGGACTGGACTAAATGATCTCTCGAGATCCTATGGGCCCCACTATACCAGGATCAGCACCAATATATCAGAATGGGCCCTGCTATACTGGGGTCACCATTAATATATCAGGGTGAGCCCCGCTAGACAGGGGTGAGTACCATAGGTGCCAACTTTACCCGGCGCTGGTGGGCGCTCGCACCTTCCCGCCCCCGGCCCTGCCCCGACTCCATCCTTCCCCAGCCCTGCCCCGCCCCCATTCCAACCCCTTCCTCAAAGTCCCTGCCCCAACTCTGCCCCCTCCCTGCCCCTATTGGACCCCTCCCTGGCGCCGCCTCTTCCCTGAGCGCACCGTGTCCCCCCTCCTCCCCTCTCCCTCCCAGCCGCACGAAACAGCTGCTTCGCAGCCCAAGCGCTGGGAGCTAGGGGAAAAAGCGGGCATGCGGCGCGCTCAGGGGAGGAGGCGGAGGAGGAGGTGAGGTGAGGCGGGGCAGGGTGGCGTGGAGAGCTTGGCTGTCGGTGGGTGCTGACACGGCCGGCTCCAGCTTTTTTGCCGCCCCAAGCGGTGAAGCAGCAATACCACGCTGCTTCATTCTTCGGCGGCAATTCGACGGCAGGTCCTTCCTTCCGAGAGGGACTGAGGGACCCGCCGCCGAAGACGCAGACGTGCCGCCCCTTACCATTGGCCGCCCCAAGTACCTGCTTCCTTTGCTGGTGCCTGGAGCCGGCCCTGGGTGCTGAACACCCACCAATTTTTCACCGTGGGTGCTCCACTATGCAAGGATTGGCCCCAACATATCAGGGTCAGCTCTAATATACTGGGGTGGGCGCACCAGACAGGGATCAACCTCAACATACTGGGTAGGGCTGCCAACTTTCTGATTGCAGAAAGCGGAACACCCATGCCCTCAGGCCCCGCCCCTTCCCTGACGCCCCACCCCTGCTCACTCCATTCCCCCCTCCCTCTGTTGCTCGTTCTCCTCCACTCTCGCTCATTCGCTAAATTTTCACCGGTCTGGGGCAGGGGGTTGGGCTGCGGGAGGGGGTGAGGGCTCTGGCTGGGGGTGCAGGCTCTGGGGTGAGGCCGGGGATGAGGGGTTTGGGGTGCAAGAGGGAACTCCGGGCGGGGGGGGGGGGGCCAAGGGGTTTGGAGAGTGGGGGGGGGCTCCAGGCTGGGGCAGTGGGTTGAAGTGTGGGAGGGGGAGCGGGCTTTGGGGTGGAGCTATAAATGAGGGGTTCAGGGTGCAGGAGGGGGCTCTGGGCTGCAGCAGGTAGTTGGGGTCAGGGAGAGGGGGAGGGCTCCAGCTGGGGGTGCAGGCTCTGGGGTGGGGCCGGGGATGAGAGGTTTGGGGTACAGGAGGGCACTCCGGGCTGGGGTGTGGGACCAAGGGGTTCGGAGTGTGGGAGGGGGCTCCAGGCATTGGCGCGGGGGTTTGGGGTGCAGGAGTGCGGGCTCTGAGAGGGAGTTTAGGTCTGGGAGGGGGCTCAGGGCTGGGGTGGGGGGTTGGAGTGCGGGAAGGGTGAGGGCTCTGGGAGGGAGTTTAGGTGTGGGAGGGGGCTCGGGGCGGGGGGGGGAGGTTGGAGTGTGGGAGGGATCCAGGCTCGGGGAGGGAGTTTAGGTATGGGAGGGGGGTCAGGGCTGGGGCATGGGGTTGGGGTGTGGGAGGGGGTGCGGTTCTGGGCGCGCTTACCCCAGGTGGCTTGCGGAAGTGGCCAGCATGTCCTGCCGGCTCCTAGGCACAGGGGCAGCCAAGGGGGCTCCGCGCGCTATCCCTGCCTGCAGCGCAGGCACTTCCCTGAGCTGTGGGGGCAGTGCCTGCAGATGGGGGCAGCGCATGGAGACCCCTGTCCGCCTCTGTGCCTAGGAACTGGCGGGACATGACGGCCACTTTTAGCGGCCTGATCAGCTGTGCTGACCGGAGTTGCCAGGGTCCCGGATGCCTGGTGACCCTAATACTGGGTGAGCACTGATATACCAGAGTCTGCCTCAATATATCAGAGTAGGCCTCACTATACTGAGGTGAGCCCCAATATACTTGGGTTGGGCCCCACTATACCAGGGTAGACACCCTTTTCCAGT